TCACACAGCAGAGGGAAAGTTATTAAGCCTACTGAGTCCATAAAAATACAGAATATACTCTCCCCAAAACTATGTAACACCCACTCTACTTTTGTGGGACAAAGATTTTGACTATGTGAAAAGACTTCCACAAATCTTTTGATCAAGTATGGATTGGATTCCTTTTTGTCTTAATTTCATAAACTTAGAGACATGCATCTAAAAAGACAAAGTGTTTGAAACTTGGTAATTAAAGATATACCTTTCCTTCATCTTAGATCACCTGCTCTAGGAGATCCACATTGATTGTGGCTCTATCTGGCATCAACAGATATTTAATGAAAGACCTAAAGGAAGCCAGAACATCAGCTAAGCTGCTCCTAATATATTTTAGGGAGGTTTCTGAGATTTTTTTCAAAAAGAGTAAGGTGAAAAGCAAAAAAATTAGATTAGCTGCTTCCTGAGGAGGCAGAAGCAAGAGGATCATCACAAGTTTAAGATCTGTCTGAACTGCACAACAAATTCCAGACCAGCAAAGGTTAAACATTGAGATAGTAAGATGCTGTTTCACAAATGTACACACACAAAAAAAAAATCAAAACAATATGGTCAAAACACAGGATCATCTGACCTGTACTCAAATATCTCTCACTTCACTTTCAAATTAAACTGTCCCATCTTTCGGTCTTTCTCCTTAAATGTTTTGTTTTTTTACCTTCTGTTGTATATCCAACTCACCAGCAGCTTTAAAATCAAAACCTATGTAGTAATATCAGGCCAAAATCACAGAGAAAGTAAAGCACAACAAATATTTAGATCCATATTGGTAAGAGACTATGGTTAAAGTCACATTTTAAATTGTAACCAAGCAAAGTTATCATCCAAATAGCTATTAACAAATAGCAAAACTAAACAACCTCTATTAATACAATCAGGGTGAACCAAAGTGTGTGTATGTGTGTTTGTGGGGGGGGGGGGGGGGGGGTAGATGATGTTCAAGTAGAATGAATTAAAAGTGGTGTCCACAAGAAGATAGTTGGTAAATCAGAACATTCAGAGTATAGACCATGCTGGGTAAAGCTAGTATGAATGAGTTTAAAAGCATTATTAAGAGTGCACGTGGGGAGAGGGGGTTAGCACGATTTTAATCCTAGCACTGGGAAGGCAGAGACAGATGGATCACAGCCTGGTCTGATTTTCAAGACAGCCTCCAAAGCTACAGAAGTCCTCTCTTGAAAGAAAAAAAAAAAAAAAGAACGAAGGCTTTCAGGACTGAACACTTTTAATCCCAGAACTTGGAACTTGCCAGCCTGGTCTACAGAGCTAGTTCCAGGACAGGCTCCAAACCCTGTCTCTAGAGAAAAAAAAAAATGAGTGCAGACTTGAGAATACCACTCACGACTAGAGCTTTGTCTAGCATGAAAGAAACCCATCCCTAATACATAAAATAGGGGCAGGGAGCTTAAGAGTATGAGCACAGTCAGATCACTTGGATTCTAATTCTAAGCAAGCAACTCTGTTCCAGCCTCAACTCTCCTAAATATTAATTTCCTTACTTACTCCTCTATAATTATACTATCCTCATAGTATTAAGAATGGATACCAAGCCAGCCATTGGTGGCGCACACCTTTAATCCCAGCACTTGGGAGACAGAGGCAGGCGGATCTCTGTGAGTTCAAGGCCAGCCTGGTCTCCAGAGTGAGTGCCAGGACAGGCTCCCAAAACTACAAGAGAAAAAGGGGGGGGGGGGGGATTGTTCCCAGCACTCAGGAGGCAGAAGCAGGTGGCCCTATGAGTTGGAGGACAGCCTGGCCTACAGAGTGTATTCCAAGACAGCCAGGGGTAGACAGAGAAACCCAGTCTCAAAAAAGCAAAATCACAAAAAAAGTAGGCAGCAAAAGACAGCACCATAATCTATAACTTCAATTATTAAAACACCTCATTTAGAACATGAGTAATAGAAACTGAAAGGGGGGGATTGGTCCAAGCAGTGCTAAGTACTCAGGAGTGATACTATAAAGTTCAATTTCCAGAAAGTAAAATATTGGAAACCTGTCAAAATTAGATGGGATGGAGATGTAGCTTAATTGGCAGAATGCTTGCTTTAACTTGCACAAAGCCATAGGTTCAAACCTGTGGGAGTAGAGAGGCATACCTGTAATTCCAGCCCTGGAAGATGCAGAGGCAAGCGATCAGAAGTTTAAAGTCATTTTGGCTTTGAAGCCACCCTGGACTACCTGGGGCTGGAGAGATGGCTCTGGGATTAAGAGCACTGGCTGCTCTTCCAGAGGACCTCGATTTAGTTTCCAGCACCCATTTTAGATCGGCTCATAACTGCCTATAATTCCAGGGGAGTGACATCCTCTTCTGGCCTTGACAGGCACTGACACACACTTTACATTTTCTGGTGTACATGTGGTTTTTTTGTTTTATTTTGGGGGTTTCATTTTATTTCATTTTTGTTTTTTTGTTTTGTTTTGTTTTGTTTTTTTGAGACAGGTTTTCTCTAATAGCCCTACCTGTCCTGGAACTAGTTCTGTAGACCAGGCTGGCCTTGAATCAAAGAGATTCACATGCCTCTGCCTCCTAAATGCTGGGATTAAAGGCATTGTTCTTGTTCTTCCTAACTAGGTTTATATGTGTAGTCCTGACTGTCCTGGAAATCAGTTCTGTAGACCCTGGTGGCCTAGAAGTCAAGAGATCACCTGCCTCTGCTGGGATTAAAGGGGTGCACTACCAAACCCATCCAGAGTACAATCAGTTGTTGACCAAGTCCTATAAACAAAAATCCCAATAAACCACCAAGGAGTCAAGTGTCCAAAGCTGGTTCTTGATATTGTTGCTTGGAAATACTGGAAATTTCAAGATCACAAGAAACCAAATGTGAGCCAGGTAGTGGTGGCACATGCCTTTAGTCCCAGTACTGGGGAGGCAGAGGCAAGCGGATCTCTGTGAGTTCACCAGCGTGGTCTACAAAAGCTAGTTCCAGGACAGCCTCCAAAGCCACAGAGAATCTGTCTAGAAACCTGCCCCCCCAAGAAGAAATCAAATGTGGTTTTCTATGAATAAAAGTCAGGCAATAGCCGGGCATTGGTGGCACACCCCTTTAATCCCAGCACTGGGAGGCAGAAACAGGTGGATGTCTGTGAGTTCAAGGCCAGCCTGGCCTCCAGAGCAGTGCCAGGATAGGCTCCAAGCTACACAGAGAAACCCTGTCTAGAAGAAAAAAAAAAAAAAAAAAAAGTCAGGCAATAATTTAATTTCTGCTGGGGTTTTTTTGTTGTTTTGTTTTGTTCCCACCCACCCAGTACTTTCTGTTTGGCTGGTCAGAAACTGATGATGTAGACCTACCTCTGCCTCCTGAATGCGGAGATAAAAAAGGCTCACGCCACCACATCAGACCAAGTTCAATTAAAGGTACACACTTTATACAAAAAAATTTCAAAAGCCAATTAATAGGAATGCATGGAATACAGGCTGTTGGATCCCAAGTGATAAATGAATGTTCTCATCAGTTTGTTAAAATACTGCATAAAATGGCCTGGTGTGGCAGCACACAGATGAATTTCAGCCCTGAAATTGAAGTCAGGAAGACCAAGTTCCAAGCCAACCTCAATGATTAACTGTCTCAATTTTCTTTTAATTTTTAAGAACTACTAAAGATCTTCTAACACAGAAAACACATATAATCCAGTTTGTTAGAACATAGGGGATTGAACTCTAATCCCAACTTCAGAGCAGAAAATAATTCATAGAGTCTACTGCTTCTTCCTTTTTTCAGAGACAGGGTTTTTTGTGTAGCTTTGGCTGTCCTAGAACTAGCTCTGTAGACCAGGTTGGCCTCAAACTCAGAGATCCTCTGCCTCAGAGCACAAGGATTAAGGGCATACACCACCACCAGCCAGCTACACTCCTTCTTTTGCTTTAAAGGAACTAACAGAACTCAACAGGTTAGTAAGGGGAGGAAACTGCTTAGAAATAAATGAACAACTTACTAAAGTTAGCATGTCTTTGGATGAATGTTGAAAAATGACAATCTTCTATCTCAGAACAGGTTATTAGGTGAAATAAATTAAATGCAGCCATATTAATCATTTACTAATTGTGTATTAACTGTCTCAATTTTCTTTTTATTTTTAAGAACTACTAAAGATCTTCTAACTTAAGATCATTCACTTAAGTGAATTTTTAAAATATACTCCAGAATGCCAACACACTGAAAAATTATAATAGTAAATAAAAACCATTCAGCCCTAAAAAATTCAGTTATCACTAAAAATTCTTACATTTGTTAAAAGAATTAAAAAACTATGAACTTAAGCCAGCACAACATTCCTGGGGGGAGGGGACTATGTAATCATTATGCTAGTTTAAAGGTTTTTAAGCCAACTTGCTTTCTTTGCTTCTTTCCCAAAAATGTTTAGGAAACTGAGGAGTATGAAACACAAATTGCTTCAATAAATTGTTTCAAAAACTTAATGTCTATAAAGGGTTAAAATAATAGGAACAGTTGTGCCTTAAAACAAGCTATTTCAGAAGATATCAGCTTTAAAACCAAGTTTGTATGATTTTGTTTTACCTTATTCTAAACTAGATCACTAAACCACGTGTGTAGTAATGTTGTCTAACCTCACATTTAGGAATTAAACTAGGAATCAAGACACAGACGTTTAAAATGTAAAACCAACCAGGTATGTGAAATGTATATTTTTTTCTAGGTTTCTACTATTCTGTTATTCAGTCTTAAAGTAAATACTGACCAGATGCATCTGTCTTTAGCTTTAAAAACACAAAAAACTTCTGACTTAAAATTGTAGTAAGTTTGAAACATTTGTAAGCCTTAAAATCTCTATTTCCATTTACTATATAGGTAATGACTATTCTCAAATATCCAGAAACTGAATCTAAAGCAAATTTTTTTTCAAGAACTGAAAGGTTTCTAAGAATAACACAGGATCAATTTGACTCATATTACAGTTTACAAATGAATATCTAATTTGCTCACCATAAGAGTACTTACAAATTCCAAGAGGACTGCACAGGAAGGTGTTGTTTTTTTCTCTATAAGCTTTATGTTTTCCAGTTTGTTTTTTTATTTTGTATCCTCTGAAATATCCAAGTTCTTTGAAGATACTTAACCTATGACTATTTGACATAGAGTTATTTGAAGTCAGCTACCCATATTTGTTTTGAAGTTTTCATATGGCTATATCCAGAATTAGCCAAGTTCCTTGGATTCAAGAGCAAGGTCTTCTTTACTATTCCATGTATTTGTCACTGTACTTATCCACTCCAGATGAAATATCCAATTTATGTGCAAAAAGCAGAAACAAAAAGAAAATTTCACATCTGAAGATTACTTCTAAACATCAGCATGTACAGAGACACAAATAGCTATCTCAATACTACCATGCTGGTGTGAAACTGGAACATCTTACATTCCCAAGTAAATAAAAGATAAAAAGAAAAACACTGTATTTTTTCAATGTCTTCATTTAGAAAAGCTGTCCCATCGTAATATGAAAAGAGCTGAAGTCAAAAATTACTAAAACTTTCAATAAAGGTAAAAAGAACTGCCACGAAACTTCAGCAATATTTCAACAGTAATTTGTAACTACTCAGTACACAAATCAAACATATCTTACAGTTTTGGCTGAAGAACACCAACAGGAAAGGGGGGGAAGAGGCAAAAATAACACCAGATGAAATACTTTAACCACTTATATAATCCGTTTGAACCAAAATACTGAAGAAATGACTGGGTCTTTAGTAGCTCGTTGAATTTGTTCACTACTATCAATTCACTTCGGAGATGATTCTTGTCAATTTTAATAAACTTCTGGGGCAAAATTACCCAAAAAAAAAAAAAAAAAAAAAAAGAAAAACAAAACAAAACTGTAATTCCAAAATGGCCTCTTGAAATACCCGGGGCCTTTTAAACAAAACCTAGAAGATGAATCTTCATATCTGTTTAATTCAATCACCTGTAAGTTATAAAAAAAAAAAAGTAAATCACAATTTTGATTTTTCAAATAAAAATCAACCCCCACTTTGGGAAAAAAAAAATCAACCTCTGTCTCGAACTCATGTCTGTACAGTCCTAAAAACAGCTTGGTAAAGAGCCTTTTCCTAACCCTCGGCAAAAGCCTACTACTGAATGGAAAGGACTTCCAAGCCGAGGGGCAGAAAACGGTGGGTGAACCACTGAGCAAAGTTCTGATCTGAACTGGAGACTGGGTGCAGGCAGAGCACTGGAGGTTGCTATGTGCAAAACTTCAAAACTTTTCGAGCAAATATCAAACCTGTGAAACTGGCACACCACCATCTCACCATTGATCTTCCCAATTCTACCCCATGTGCGGAAGGAAAACAAATGGACAGGTGGTGCTGCCACGGAGCGTTAGTAAACGTAACTCCGAGGAGAGGCAGAGAGAGCCAGCGTGACGCTCCTTCCAAGACGCAAGGTCTGAGAGAACGGGGCACCTGGATTTCCCCTCCAAGGCTGGCTAGGAAGGGGCAAAGAGATCCCTAAAATTCGCCTGAGAGGCGACTTCCGGGCCTCAGGGAGCAGCAGGGGGATAAAGGTGCAAAATCCCCATTTCCTTGAATTAAGCAAACAGGTTTCGGTCCGAACTCCAGGTGTGGGAGACTCGGCACCCCACTCGGACACCGCGTTAGGGACGGTGTTCTCCCCGAAAACCCCCGGGTTCCCGTCGGACCCGGAGCCCACACGACTTGGGAGCGCAGGGAGCGCTTGCTTGCTTGCTGGCTTGCTGGCTTGCTTGCTTGCTTGCTTGCTAGCTTTTGGAGACAAGCTGGCCTCAGCCTCCTTAGTGCTGGGTTTAGAGGTGTGAACCACACCTGACTACCATGCTTATATAAGGGACGATACGTATTACTCTCCCCATAACACATACTGAAGATTGCTTAAAGAATATTATAATAACTCTGCAATGCTCAATAAATATGTCCTGGTACTAGCTGTGTACTTTACAATTTCTCTTAAAGCCAAATACATAGTCCATCTAGGGTCATTAAAAAAAATCACAGATTCTAAAAGTTGCATCTCGAACCCTATATTTGAAAAGTATATAATATGATCAGTTCACTACCTTGCTATGAATTTTTTGAACAGTACTATGTAGGGAGACACTGTAAGCCCTGCCTCCTAGTAGCCCAGACAGGTGTGCCCGGACACGCCTGTGAGGGGAGTCTAAGGTGACTCGGGAATGGTTCTTAAAGGACCGCGCACACGTGGAGACCCTCATCTCCCTTCTCCTTTCTCTCTGGCCTGGCTGCCTTGCTGCCCCTGGCCCACTTTGGCTTGCGCTTGGCTGGTGTTATCTGAATAAAGAAACCTTAGCCTACAGACTGCGAATTGATCTCTCTTCAGTACTACTTTAGCAAAATGTACGATCCAGATTTAGTATTTGGCTATTCAAAGCCTTCAACAACTTAAGCTTATCAAAAGCATCCTTGAGCTTCATTATAAAACTAATTTTCCTACTAAGTGTTCTACCATCAAGTCATGCCTAATTATGGGTCTACTCATGAATATCCTGTACACCTTTGTTTTCCAACCTGTCAATCATGTCCTTGGCATCAAATACCTCTAACACCGACTTATATTCTAAGAACTCTTAAAATCTTCCTTCTTTGTAAGATTTCCTAAATCTTTTAGGCTGGAATTAATCATCCTAAAATAAAATTTGATCGTACTTGTATTATATTTCATTTCTAATACACATAACAACCTTTAATTATAAGTGTTTACAGATGCAATTATATTTTCCTAAGAGTATAAGCTCAATCATATTAATCCCCAAAGCTTAGATTACTTCTTTAAATTTAATAAATATTGAATATATTAAATTTATTCAATTGAATGCCCTACAATCAATATTATCAGCGTCAAACATGAAAGATTATTGGAGAGAATAAGGATTATAGTCACAAGCTAGACAATAAATGGCAGATAGTAAAGAAAATGTCAATGCATGCAATGAAGTCAGTACTTTTACATAACACAAAATGACTAAACCAATAAAATGTAAAGATAATGACGTATATATCAGTTTACCTGTTGTGCTAAGTACTGGCCCTAAAATCACTGTACTATTTCATAAATCTTTTAAAAGGCGCCTCGCGGAGCGTGCCGGACGTTAACACGCGGAAGCCGAGTTAGGGACGCGAGGCTTGGCCGGAGCCCGGCTCTCCCTGGAGTGCGAGCGGGCTGCTAGGTGGCGTCGCACTAATACTCGTGTTTTCTAACAGTTTCAGTAGGTGGCTCTTTCCAGCAGTTATCCTGGGAATCCGCATAGCACAAACCATTGCTGTTTTAAGTAGGTAGGTAGGTAGGTAGGTAGGTAGATAGATAGATAGATAGACTCCAAAGGTACAGAAAAACCATGTCTCAGACAAAAAAAAAAAAAGTGGAGGAGAAAAATTAAAGGTTATGGCATTAAGCTTCCCTAAACGTGGTAACTGAAGGTTGTTCACTTTGAAAAAGGTGACGTTCTCATTCCAAGAGAAGAAACATGTGTTTAAAAGAAACAAGAGGGTAGGGGGAGCGTCTTAACGAGAGAAATATCTGCCTCTACCTTCGCCCGAGCCACGGGAGCGTCATATCGTAGAAACTAAGTTTTTATATACATTATGGGGTTTGTAGTTTGGTACAATGCTCCCAAAAGTTCGCCAAAAGGCTGCTGCAATGTAAACTCACCCTAATTTGCACTTCAACCTTTATTCATCATGGAGATTGCCACCTTGGGCAATTAATAAATGTCCCCTGCATACACTGGGAAAGGATTTAAAACTTACTGAATTCTATCTGGTTTAATCTTGTACCAATGTCTAAGGTGTGGCCGGAATTCTCCTTATCCCTTTGAAGCCACAACACCTGGTTTTTATGTTCCTGGTTCTGGACAGAATAGAAAAAAGGTGGAAATTATGGGGACATGAGAAGAAAAAGGAGCCTCTCTCACTGAGAGCCAAGAATTGCAGTGCAAGGAACAACACTAGCCTTGAAGTTTACCTTTTTATAGAAAACTATCCCAAGAAAGTTAAAATACTCTGGAGTCAGCAGGGTGATGGTGGCATATGCCTTAATTCCAACACTGGGGAGGTGGAGGCAGGCCTGGTCCACAGAGTGAGTTCCCAGACAGTCAGAGCTACACAGAGAGACCCTGTCTCCAAAAACCAAAAGAGAAAAGTATCCTGGAGTCATGGGTCACACCTGTACTCCCAGCATTTTGTAAGCAGATCACTATGAGTTCCAAGCTAGCCTGGTCAACATAGTTAAATTCCAGGCCTGCCAGGGCTACAAATAAGACCCTGTCTCAGACTTAAAAGAAGAAAATTAAAATAGCAATGAACTATGAATGTGTAAGGGCTCAGTGCTGGTAACGTTGGGTGTGGTCTTACTCCTTTCCCAGATATTTTCTAAAAATTTGAAACAAAGCTTACTTTTTTCTTAGTGATAACTCCCTAACTTCCCTTACAACTCTAGTGATTTGACGTTTTAACTTTTCAACTGCCCAGTGCATCTCAAGAACCACTCTGTGGACTGAGCAGTGGTGGCACATGCCTTTAATCCTAGAACTCAGAAGACAGAGGCAGGCAGATCTCTGTGAGTTTGAGGCCAGCCTGGTCTATAGAGCAAGTGCCAGGATAGGCTCCAAAGCTACACAGAGAAAACCGGTCTCGAAAAACAAAGAACCACTCTGTGATCTTATTTAAATTCCGTAGCAAGTCTTTAAGCTTAACCTCAAAACACACCAAAATCTTACATAGAGAACCTGTAAAGACAATAATGAGACTACCCCTGCTCCTGAGTGTGTTTTCCTTTCTCTGAGTCCTCTCTTTTTACCCACCCCTGTGAGCAAATCTATACAAAAATAAACAAACAAGCAAATAAACATAAATAAATGTATACTCTAACTCCACTTCATATTGTCTTGTCCTGAAATTCTTTCTGGAGTGAGGCAGAGGTGCCAGCATTACCCATAAGGGAGTCCCTACAGAGAGTTACTCTGGCTACTATTGCAGTACAGGCTATCTCTTAGTCAGCTTGCCACTGCAGTTCTGGCAGAAACCAAAAGAGCTAAGTTTTAAAGTTTGAGATTTGATGGTGCACATCTGTAGTTCAAGGCCATAAGACCCTGTTTCAAAGCATCAAAATGATAAAAGAGTTGCAAATGTTTAAGGGAAAACAAAGTACTTTTCTGGATGTCAGACTAATAAAAGCTTTTTAAATTATTCTTTATACCCGGTAAGAGCACTTTTAATCACAAAAAAAAGAGAAAAAAGTTAAATACAAGAACCCATTACCAGTTATACCAGACTTGCCATTGTTTTCTTTTACTTTTTTTTTAATGAAGTCTACACAAGGCACATCACATACTAGATTAAGCTATACATGAGCATAACATTATACCATCTGAGGGAAGAGAACATGCACTTCTGTAACCAAGCTCTCTACAAGAATTTTTTTCTTTTGTTTGCAAGAAATTTTAATTAGACTGAGCGTTGGTGGTGCACACCTTTAATCCCAGCACTCGGGAGACAGAGGCTGGCAGATTTCTGTGAGTTCAAGGCCAGCCTGGTCTACTGAGTGAGTTCCAGGACAACCACAAAACTACACAGAGAAACCCTGTCTCGAAAAAAAAAAAGAAAAAGAAAAAATTTTAATTAGCTCTTTCAGCAACTTTATAGAAATTAGCCTCATACATCAACTAATATAGCCCAAGTATGCTATGCTGTATAGGCTATGATAAATTTTTCCCCAACTTACAGGTATGAGTGAAAACTGAGAAACCGAAATGTCCACTCACTGAGAACTGGTTTTAAAAAATAAAAAATGTGCATCAGCACTTGCCTAGCACATCCAAGACCTGGGGACTGGTACTCTGTAGGGCCACAAAATGGGTTTGTTTTTTCCTCTAATCACAGGTTTAAAAGGCAGAAATTTGGAAGTCAAGCAAAGCCAACGTTTATTCAGAGGACAATTTTATTAGGG